TGTGCCTTCGTATTACACGTTTTATAGTCCCTTCATCCGTCTCGGCGTTTGAAGAGGCGCCTCATCATTTTAATTTCGATTGCATCATTTTTTGATATACTCGCCCAGTTCGAGGTGGCCGGTGCTTTGCATTCCAACTTACGTTTACGATACTCGCCGCCTTCGGCAGTTATTTTCGATTCTGGCCGTATCGACTCATTCGTAGTCAGGGCCATTATATTATACCAAGAAGAAGAAGAACCAAAAAGGTAGATACAGATAAATACGCGGCAGTATATTAGAGTCCTGATTGAAAGAAATTATAATTTATTCAGTACTATTCAGTACAAAATAAGATGTTATTTTTGTTACAGAAAAAATGGAATCAAATAAAGATCATATATTGTTAGCAATTTTTACATTAGTAATAAAATTCAAACAAAGTATAAGTCCCTTTAAACAAGAAATACAGCGTCGCAAAATCTTATTTTTGCATGCATTGTACGAAGATATAAGAAACAAAGAAAAAGACAAACAACGTCAATTTTGGGTACGACCCATATTTAATGTGCATCGACGTTTCTTGCAAGGAGCTAGTGAAAATCTTGTCAAAGAAATGGAGTTCGAAGATGAAACAAAATTTCGTAATTACTTTAGAATGGATTCAATTACATTTAAAAAATTATTGGAATTAATTGGTCCATTAATTACGAAGCAGTCTGTCGTTCGCGAACCAATTCCCCCTGAAACGCGTTTACATATCACACTCCGCTATCTAGCTTTGGGAGACAGCATGATGTCAATATCATATGCTTTTCGTGTTGCCCACAACACCGTTTCAAAAATAATAGCGGAGACTTGCAACGCTATATGGAATGTTTTAAAGGAGATAGTTTTTCTTAAAGATGAAGTAAAGAATTGGCAAAACATTGCTGCAGATTTTGACTATTTTTGGAATTATCCCAACTGTATTGGTTGCATTGATGGTAAGCATGTAGAATTACAGGTACTCGTCTTACTCTGCTAAGCCTATAATTGAAAACTTTCTTTTTGAAGTTTAGATTGCTTATTCGAGGATATTGCCTCATTATATATGGAAAGGCTTTGTATGTATTAGTAATGACATTAAATATATTTTTACTATAGGCTCCACCAAACAGTGGATCGTCTCATTATAACTACAAAGGACGTCATAGCATTAATTTAATGGCGATTAGTGATGCTAAATATCGATTTACTATGGTCGACATCGGTGCAGAAGG